ATGTTTCCTCCTTTTAGCAGCAAAATCCACACTGCTTCTTGAAAGCTTTTAGAATATTTTTCCTTATGCTTTTATCCTAGAGGAGAAGGCAGGACTACATTTGGTATTTAGGACAGGGAGCTGGCAATCTGGATTCTTTTCAGCTTTGTCACTAACCCGTGGTATGACTTCTACTCATTGTACGGCACCATGGCTTAGAGAAGCTATGGGGAGTCTCTCTGTGGCTCAGAAAGGGTTCTGTTTGTGCCTACCAAAGGGACCGCCTTTGCAAACTTGGCACTTGGTATTCCTAGCTCCTGCACTGGCAAAAAATACTCCCACTTGCAGAACCTCATGAAGCTGTGTGGAGATACAGGTTCTCAGGGTTACTCACACTTCTTTGACTCAATCTTTGATTTCCATGGAATTGTAACACTATATCTTTGTTTTCATTTACCTTACCCCAGTGTCGGACAAGCCTTATAGTAAAGCAAGTATTTACTTAGAAACAATTAAAATTGAACATTTAGATACTAGGCTGGGAGGAGGTAAACAAGTGAAATGTAAAGTAAACAAGTCAAAGTTATTTCAACTCTGGCTTAAATTTTACAGCCAGAGGCCAGTGTTTTAAGATATCTTCCATGGAATCTGAAAGAATGTCCACACACTTAGGCACTGGCATCCACTAGTCCCAGTCCTGAACATACACCATGCTCCATCTTCCTCTGGGCAACTCTTAGAAGTTCTCCACACTTTTATTACTTAGAAATTAGGTTTTTTAATATAAATGTGGCTCTAATTGGCTTTTACCAAAGCCAGCAGCAATGGATATTTTACCAGTGGTTCCTCTGGGTTTAGACCTAATTGACCAGAAGGTGTGTGACCTCTATAAATACACCTGCTCGCCCTTCCTGGGAACTAGGTGCTTTATTATTTCTCCCTTCCTTCTAACCAGCCTGCTGGCTACTGCTTCCCACCCACTCTGAGATGCTCCCTTTATTTCTTTATATAGAGTTATTAGTGTTATTCAAGACACTGGTTATACACAGATTATATTATGATTTGTGATGTGTTACTGATTTCCTATAAAGACCTGTATATGCTGATCTACATGAATATAGATTATTGATTGATAACAAGTTGCTCTGAGAGGACTTCTCTGTGAGAACAGGAATGTCTCAGCTTCATGCTCTGTCCCAGTCACTTAGGCTAAAATTTTCAAAGCCCTTCAAAGATACTTAGTTTTTAATGTCTGCCTTTAAATGAGTCATTGAGCACCTTGAGGTTCAATTGACCTTATTTGATTTTGGGTGCTTGTCTTGAAGTGAGGCAACCATCACTGGGAACCTCAAGATTCTCCTGACTCTATTTGGGTTTTGGGTGCTTGCTCTGGGGGATGTGCACACTGGAAACAAGAAGCTAAATAAAAGCACGGGGGTTTTGTAAGTGCTTTCAACTTTAAAATGGGACTTTCAGTTTCTAAAGGCTGGCAGGGAGTTAGTTTTGAGTCAGTTTTTGTGTGGTCATTTTTATTCTGGAATTAGAGTGTTCCTGCACAGAATTGCACCAAAAAGTTTTGTCAAGAGACATTGTCTTTTGTTGCCATGAGTTTGCAAATATTCCCAAACAAGATTGATATAAGCCAGCAAGACCCAGCTTTTATCCTACCAAATAAAAGCACCTCCCTGAACAACATAAACCCTCAGCTAACTCAGGAGCTGCCAGAACACAGTACACTCCTGACCTCACAGTGCCAGAAGCCATAAGGCCCAGACTTTTTGCCATGGCCCAGACAAGGTAGTTTACAGCTGTTTCAGGGGGTCTCTACGTAGTACTGTCACAACATTATGTTTTGATGAAACTTCAATAAACTTTCTAAGTTACCTGAATTCTTCCGAAGGGCATTATACGTGTACAGATTGCTTGTATTGTTGTCCAATTATGAACAGCTATTAAGACTTCACACCTACAATTTGTACTCACAATTTGTAAAATTCCCTTGCCTTGAGTTCTCTACTACTACTACCAGCAAGGCATGCAGCAAATTTTATTATTTATCCAAGTTCCATAGAACACGCCATTTCCATCAGCCTCACATCTTCAACTGACAGCAAAATGGCCTAGATCTGAAGCAGCTGACTTGATGCCACTGTGATTGTGGCTTACGTGTCCCTTAACAGAGATTGTACACACCTTAGCAAACTGAATTAAAATGATAGTGCACAGGCATCCAGCACATACCGCCAAGCCTGATTCTGCAGATCCTCAGACCATGAGTGAGTTTACCCACAGGAGCAGTCCAGTCTGGGGACTCCCACTGATTGCAACACTGCAGTGAGATGATTTGCATACAGAAAATTATTCTTGTGGATACATTCTTGTATGTATTCAATCCTGTAGTCCCTGGGTACCATCAATTTTCAGTGATCTTCCTGAGAGTTGGCGGTGGTTAGGACTTCATTGTATCTCATGCATCAGTCCCAATTCAGTGATTCATTTAACTATGGCAGTAAGATTCATATATATCCTGAAGTGATTTGTGAAATGGGGAACACATTAAATACATTTATGCACCTCTAATCTACAATTTAATTGTACTTTCAAAACATTACTTTGAGAACAGTCAAGAACAAAGCCAATGCTTTTTTTTTTTTTTCCTGATGCTGTTAGGTTGGCTCAGATTGGGAAATCTGTGTGCAAGGGAGTGAGTAGGCAGGTACAAGTAGTCAGTCCAGCTGGCTTTAATGGCACTATTTGTGAGAGCTCACCAGAGCTGTGCACTGGGGGCCGTGATGTGTGACACAGAGCAGCTGGAACACAAATGTCTTACTCAAGCATGGCAGTTACTCATGGAAGTAGTTACACTGGAGCCAAAGGGACTGACCAGGGGTTTTACCATATATTATTATTTTTGTTGCTGATGTCTGTACATTGCGATCAGAGACATAGGCAAACCAGAACACAGCCACATTGTTTGGACAAACGGAACAGCGACGGTCCCTCCTTCATAGACTGCATCTCTTGAAAAATGCTCATTTTCTGAGTTTGCTGGGCAGTTTTGCAACAGTGCATAGTGAATAGATTCGAATGGGAAAGTCTCCAAATGGTGACTATAACGTTAGTACAAAGTTTTATTAATAAATCAATTGACTTTATTTTTATTAGCTAGAAAAATAAACCCAGGCTCATGTTGTTTGAGTGAAACTCAAATCAGGACAGACAACATTAAGAACATAACTAGTATAACCTACCACACAGTAAATCAAAGAACGAGAAAAGTACATGGCTGCTAACATTCTACTATAACATTCCTCAACCTCTCTGCAGTGTGGAGAACTGCAAGCCAACATTTTTCAACTGTCCTAAAGAATGTGAAATGTAAATGTTTAGAAGAGTGTTTTTCTTGCCAAGCTGAGAGCGATCATAAACATCAGCTTCTAATAGAAACATTTTAAAGAGATGCACTCCTTGCTGCCAGCTTTTGAGAGCAACGCCATTTAAATTAGATCAGAGTCTCCTTGAATTCTTGACACTCCATTGCTGCCTTCTATTTGCCAAAAATTGTTGAATTGATGTTATGCTTGAATTTAAAGTATGAACTGCAACTGTATTAAATATGCTGCTTAAATGTCATGTGGATAAACAATAAATCACTTGCCTAGGATTCATTTTCAGGACAAGCCTAAAGAACATCTTGAGGGAAAAGAACCATTCTTTTAATTATATTACTTTATTTCTGTGGCATCACAAATGTGCATGGTATTTCCCTGTCAAGTGGAGTTTATGGATTTGTTCAGATGTAACTTTTCCATAGATAATAATATACTAAAACTGAACCATGACTTACTCCTTACTGTACCCCCTCTGCCTTTCAGCTGAGAGGTCTGCAAATACTGTTGGTAAAATAGCGCAGTAAACTGCCGTAATAGACCTGTATTCAGTAATATTGAAATCCTGATTCTGATAGCATGTTATTTCTTCACAGTTAAATCCTTCTATTATTTATCGTTGTATAATCTTAAACAAAATGTTCAAATCTAGGAAAACTGAAATGCTCTGTGAATTAGAACCAGTTTCAACTGACTGTTTTAGTTATATCATCCTGAAATTCCAAACAAATAAAATTATACCATTTTAGCATTTTCTAAGTAGAACATTTAATCTTTGGGCTTCAGAGTTTCCATTTTAGTTTAGTGCTTAATTATATTTTTAGAAACCCTTAAAGCAAATTTAAATATTTGAATCAAAGTGTTTCCTTATGAACCAAAGTATTGTTTTTGTCACTGCTGCTAGTGAATCAAATTTAGTATCTTTTTAGAAGAAAGAGCCATCTCTGATCACAACCCAAAGCATCTCCTTATATAATCAGTGTTCATATTCTTCAAACTCCTTCATCTTGCACCATGATACCAAATGGACTAGAGGTGGCATGATTATTAGTGGTTATATATCTTTGCAGGTTTTATTTTGATAAAGACTTTGAAATAACTTTGGAAAAATCTCTTCTTAGATAAACTTTCCAGGTTTTATGTGTACCTCACCACTTGTTTGGAACCACGTTTTAATATAAAAGAAGATTTTGAAAGGCAGAGAGGGCAGTTGTAGGTACCAACCCCAGGGAAGTTGGTACTTAAAGAAGGACCACAAAGTTAGTACTGTTTTGAAAACCACAATACTGAAATAGCAGTGTTACGCAGTGAAATAATGAGATTTCATTTTCAAAAACAGTAATACTTTTTTGATTCACTCTTTTCTTCCTTTTTTTTTTTTTTTTTTTTTTTTTTTGTGTGTGCTTTGGGATGATCACGTGCTACATTTACAGACTAGTTCTGCAAGTATGGCAGCTAGGACTGTCCAGTTGCCTCATTCTCCTCCATAAGCCCCATCTGAGAACAGCTGAACTTGACTGTAACGCTTGTGATGAAAATCAAGGAGAAAACACATTGTCACTATAATCAGGAGATGTCTTGAATGGATGCAAAGGACAGTGTTTGATTCAGTTTCCTCTTTTTCTGTTTTGGTTGCTACAGAAACAAATCCGATATTTAGATGGAATTAACAGCTGTTACCTGTGTCAAAGAAATGGAGATCAAGAAGAAGCATGACTGGGGAGAGGACAGTCAAGCCTCACAATGTGGAAAGACATGAAAAAGACCCAACAGGAGAGCAAGAGGATGTGAGCTGTGCTGTGCTTGCAATGAAATCATTGGGCATTTTGCCATGAAAGCAGAACTGAATTGTTCTTTCAGGTATGAAAAGTATTGCAAATTACAGATATAGAACTCACATTAAGAGGTTAAGAGAGGAAGCTGTTTGCTACCTAGGATGAGCCAAGAAGCTGCAAAAGCTGGGTCCCTAAATTTGTGTATTCTAGACAAGACTGGGCAGAGGTCTTGCTTCCAGCATCCCTTGAGGGTGTTTTTACTTCCCATTATTATATATCATAGTTCTCCCACCACTTCCTTGAGTTCTAGTGGCCTTCCTTCTCTTTTCCATCTGATGAAGAGACTGCACTGTAATCTAAAGTATACTGGAATCAACAGATGTCTTTGCATTGTCTTTAACAGGCTTTGAATCGGAGCAGAGAGGTCATAGTTCTTAGGTTGATAATTTGTTTTGCAGATGAATTGGGACATTTTGCTATTGTTTTGATTTGAGCCTCAGATAGACCTAGAAATAACAGCAGTAGCAAATACTTAAAGCAAGGTTCATGCTGATGGAACAACCGAAGGAGTTATGTATGTCATCCCAATACAAACAGGATCTTAGTGGCAGAACCAGGAATGAAGGCTAAGAGTTCTGACTTCCCTCATTGTGCTTTCACCATTCGATCATGCAAACTCCCCCAAATTATCATAAAATTGTGCAAAGAGTAACATCCAGCAGAGACCAGCTCTGCCTGGCTCCTATGAGCTTGCCAAGGCTGTTGGGATAGTGAGGGAGAGACACACAATTAATTTGAAGAAGGTTTTTTTCCCCCTTTTTGTCATCTTTGTGGTGGTTTGTGAAATGCCGGGAAGGGACAGCACAATGAACAGAAAATGTTCCAAGGAAACCAGCCTTCTCCATGCCATTGCCCAACAAGCACCCAGTGTACCAACTGCGGAGCTTTGCATAGGAGGGTATGACACACATGGGGACTGTGATTTCTGCTGGCACAAGGCCTCTCGTCCCTTCTGAATTCACAGAGCAGAGAAAGGGAAGAGAATCAGAGCCTCTCCCTGCCTGGTTGAGGCTCTCCCTCACCTCCAAAACAAATGCAGGTGCAAAATTATCGAGTCCATAATTTTTCTGCATAATTTAGAGCCATAAAATGGAAGCAGCCTTTGAGCATTTGGCTCTTCCTCTCTTGCAAGTTAGGGCCAGATGCAAAAGAGGACTTAAGCACCTACAACTGAGTAGGTTCCTCCCTGCTCAGGATAACATTTCTTCCAGTACCAGCAGCTTTATGTCTAGACATGCCCAGAGCTGCTGTGATCTGAGCAGCTTAATACAGAGTTCCCACCTAAAACCCACTGGGATCCTGAAAGAAGTAAAGGAGCGTCTATTTTCTCAGGACAAACAATTCAGATGGAATATTCTGAACAAGCCTAATACACATCAGCAGGACCAGTCCCCTCACGTGATACAGTTGTAGCTACTTTCTTTTAAACTTGACCAGGTGGGAGAGATGCTATCTGCCTGGATGGTTTGGTTTTGACTGACAAACCTGAGCAGAGTGAGACTCGTCCTTAGCCATTTTGCATAAGGGTCCAGGCCTGCCCCAGTCACGTGGGGATTGTGTAGAAGAATAAGCATTCTCTCTTGGAGTGAGTTTATAAATCTGAAAGTTTCCAACACAAAAAAGAAACAAAAATGCAAGCCCCCCTTCAAGGAAAACATAAATGTAGAGAATTAAAAAAAAAAAAAAAAAAAAAAAAAGGCAAAAAAACTGAAGAAACCACAGTTATTTTGCTGGCTAATATCATGAAGACATGATAGTACTTGCAGCTTCCTGCTTGGACCTGGCTTGCTCCAAAGTCATTTTGTGTGTTAATCATGTGGTTTAGATGATGAAGATTAGGTCTGAGTGAGCTGGTTCAGATAAAAAGGGAAAAAACAGCAACCAAACCTTCACTCAAAAACTTCAACCTAAAATTTTCTGAGCTTTGAATAAAAAAAAAACAGAAACGCAAACAAATTTTTCTTTATTATTCCTTTGTTTTGTAATTAAGATTTTATTTAAAGGTACTATTATTCATTAGCTACAATTATTCATTCAAAGCTTTGAAAGTGCACAATGCTGTAAGGACTGCTGTTATCACTGCAAACACAAAAGTACACATTTCGAGTTCACAGAATTATATTTCTGTCCCTTTTCCTGAACTGGGCTTTTAAATGGAACTAGGTTTTTTCATCCTTTTCACTGCTTCCAGTGTAACTACCACCATACTATACAAGTTTCTGCCCAGTTTTGTTTCTATGCGTCTTGGCCTGGAATGTTCAATTATATATTTCCTGATAAAGACTCCAGCCAACAGCTAGCAATTTGGCCAATGTTCCTCAAAAAATTGATATAAAAAATAATGTTCTAAAACCTAAATGGAGATGTGTGAGTGGTCTGATTCTCAAAAAAAAAACAGGAATTGCTTGTTTCTTGGTAATTTTAAAAACTAAAACTATGTTATTTAGCACTTTACTACGTAATACTTTTAGATACCTATTTTTAAATGGTTGTCTCAGCTGATGGCATGCCTTTGTGTTTGATTTGCACATATTTGGCATGTGGTGCATGAGGGAAATACACACCTACTCCATTTATGCCCAAGCTGGACAACTCTTTGCAGATGTCAAACACATGCATAACAAGCCAGATATTTGCTCATGCAGACGTTAGGCATATAAGTACAATTGTTGAAACTACTGGCCTCATCTTCCATTGCTTTTAAGTTTGGGAGACTGAGAGCCTGGCACTTCCAGATGTGCTAGACAGCATTTTACACACCCTATGGACTTGTCATGAGTCCATGGGTTTGACTGCACAGTGGAATCAGGTTCTATGTATACTGTATATGAACATTTCTGTTTAGAGAATCAAGTCTCCTGTGTTACAGTCCATTACCAATGTGCAGGAAAGCTGACTTGAAGTATCCCACAACAGACTAGCTCTGGGGGACAGGTTACTGGTCAGGGAGATACCGTAGCGTCAGGCATTTCACAACACAGCTGGACCTTGATCCTTCCAAAGTACAGGCAAATAAATGGGATGCTCAATTAGGTGTCTAGCTCCTTCGCTATAGACACTGGCAAGAGGCAGGTACCTTCAAAAAGAGGTTGAGCTTCCCAGATGTTAAGGAAACGGGCATTCTAACAGTTCAGTAAAATTAATCCAAGCCTTCAAGCCTTAGAGCCGAATATATGCAAAAGTGAAGTGTCAGAGAAGGACACAAGACTGTGGCAAGCACTGTCTGGAGGCTGCTGTTCAGTTGGTTGATTTTTCTGCACACCTGCAATTACTGATTTTGAGTGGGTATGAAGGAGGGAGCTACTTTTTGTGACAGCTGCTGTTTGTGCAGCGGTTCAAACTCAGTTTCAGTCATGATATATTAAAAAAGGAATGAGTAAGCCAGCTCTGGAGGGTGACTTCTATCATTATAAACTAACAAGGCTTGGATTAACATTTGAACTTTTGGAATGCTTATTCTAATTCAACCACAGAATCTTCTGAAAGCTTCAGCCATCGCTAATTAAAACATGCAACCATTTATCTGTGGTTCATCCATGCACCTAGCAGTTTTTGCTTTAGTGAGTCTCACTGATGCAAAGTGTCTGTGCTGGGGTGAATGCCACTCAGAGAAACACATGGACTAACAGACTCTACACTTTTATATTAACTCTCTTATCCCTTACATAGTTGGGAATACTACTGTGGCCTCTACCGTGATTTAGAGTGAAAACTAATAACCCACTTCAAAAATAAACTGCCCTAGGAAGTGTCTTTGAAATTTTTCTTAATGCCATATTAAAAAAACATAACATATGAATGTAAATAATTTTCCCTGCAATGAATGCAGTACAAACATCCCAGTGTTTTGCAAGTACCTGAGAGCTGAAATATAAAACTGTCTATAAACAATAGCGAATCTGACAGGTCTGTTTTATTTCTCTTCCTCCTCCATCTCCCCCCAGTGTAAATGAATAAATATTAATGAAAAAGAGAAGTAGTAACACTTATCTATTAATTTTTCTCCTTTTATTTTCTGATCATGCTTAATTTAAAAATGTTTTGGGGTTACATTTAGTCATATATATGGTTGTTTGAGCCTTTTATTAGCCATGATTCATTCTGCATATCAGCATAAAGTGGTGCTCATGCTTTCAGTCTATATCTGTTCCATGATGCTCAGTTATCTGTCTGCCCTTGAGCTATTGGTAGGGATGGATTTGCATGTACACTGTTCTCCTATGACAATAGTATGCCAGGAATGACCGGTCTGGTATTACCTGGTCAGGTGAGGTTCCATTCAAATAATGTACATGCCACCAAAACAATTCAGATCAAAGGTCTGTCTTTCAACAGAATTAAAATGTAAGGACTTCTAAAGCAATTTTAGCAGTTGGCTTTACAAATGAACTTATGTCAGCTGCTCTGTATGATGACTGACTAAATTACTTATATCTAATCTTATCTAGCTATCTGTCTGTCTGTTTTTCAGCATTTCAGTACCCATCACCATATTATCTAGGCGCCACCATGAGATTAAGAACCTCTGCAGTGACATTCTCAACATGATCTGTTCAAAGGTCATTAGCAGAGCCTTTCATACTGGAAAAGATTGGAGGAGAGTACAGAAGTGAGCCGCAGAAGGAGAGAAAAAGGAAAAGGAGACGGTAAGCTGTTGGAGCCATTTTGGTTGTGCTCATCCTGTGTGGCTTGCTTAGCTAGTACTAAAGTATAGGAACCTCATGTCAGCTGCTTTTATTCTGCTACAGGGACTATAGTACTCGTTGTAGGCTATTGTCACCTCAGAAAGTTATCGCACATGGCCTTGAGATTACTGTCCTTGTGCTTTCTTCAGGTGCTGGTCTTTATGATTTCTGTACATTACTGCCTCAGAGCAGGATATTTCTCTCAAAAATTCCCAGCAGAGAGCAAGCACTGCAACTCAGGAAAACACCCTCTCCAAACTAATATATTAGTTAAATTTTTATTTTTAGCTTAAGTGTGCAAATCCTACAAACTCTGTGTTTGAAGAAACAAGAAAGGATGTTTTCAATGTACACAAAGTTACATAAGACCCACAGAATCATGAAAGATGATTTGATCTCACGAGGCCCGATCCTGCTTCCACTGAAGTTCGTTGCTGTAGCATCTCTGATTGCCATGAGTGCATGCCAAGGACAACCTGGGGAACTTGCATTATGGAGAGATGGCACTGGCCATACTGTGTTCACTGATGCAGTCTGTTGTGACTGTTTCAAGGAGTATACTGGTAAGTGAAAAATTTGCCAAAGCTCTTTTTTTCACTGCTGCGGTTAGGAAGCCAGGTTCAGGCCTGAGGAGGCCAATGACAGTATGCTGACATGTTGCTCAAACAAACCCCCAGAGGTACAAACCCCCCTTTTGGTACAAAAACACTAGGGGATTTACACTAGGGGATAAATAGGTGGTTCCAAAGCGAGAAGGAAAGAGCCAAAGTTGGAAGCTAACCACAGTACGTGGGTGTAAACGATTACCAAAGGCTTCCAGTAACTCTGCTATCATCAGAGACTGGCTTTATGGGTATGGCCTCAAGAAGTTTCCCTCCACTTAATTAAAGAGGCAGATAAGTATCTAGGTGGAGTGTGCAGATAGGTTCTGAATGAGTTATCCACTAAGGCTGGTTCGCTGCACCTATTGTTAAAGCGAAAATATAATATCAGATTAATGCATTATATTTGCCTATTATAGCACTATGTCATCATTATATGACATGTTATAATTAAAGCCCTGCGTTAGAAACAAAACTATTTGGCTTGGGATAAGTTGCCTTTATGACTTCTGTGGTTATGATTTCCTCCTTTTCTTAACCCCTTAAAACTGCATAATATAGCTATTTGTAACTGTATAAAGAAAGTTTCTAGTTTCAGATTCTAATCTCAGGTAATTCAATGTAAATAAAGCAAAAATCTGGCACATAGTCTTCCTGTGTCTGAATATTTGCTAATAGAGGGAAATCCACATTGTTTGGGTTGAAGGAGTCACAAAGATGGGCATTAGATTAAAGGAACTCACCATCTAGTCCTCTCAGTTGTCATTCAGCTGTCCACATCAGTTCCTGATTTTGTACAATTCCCCATTACTTTCCAGGAGAGGAAGCCACTCTGTGTACTTTCACTCTTCTTTTTCCTTCCTGGAACTACATGAGGAAAAATTGGTTATTAGACTAGTTTCTGGACCTAGCTCTCAGGAAACCATGTTCACAAATGCAAATCTGCAAAATGGGTGTGTGATTGCGTGCCTAACTTGGAGATACGATTAAGATTACAGTTTGGGTAACTGACTATGCTAATATGTTTAATTAGTGATTTGCATATGCAAGCATTTAAATTTAAGTAGTTGGTGATTCATACAGTTAAGTGCCAACCTTAGCCTTGCTGTCAGATTTAGACAGACAGAGTATGCCAGCAGTACCCCCTCTCCCCCACATCAAATGCACAGAGCAAGTGTCACCAGTCAAGGTAATTTCTTGAAAACTGCCGGGCTTTGTCTGTGTGAGAAGCAAACGTTGCAGGGCGATGAATCTTCCTGCTGTTGTTTGGTAGCAGCTTTTATTATTTAATATTTAGCAATACACTTATATAAAACTAACTGATGTCTTTGCTATTAGTAACTGAACTGTGCATTTGTTTGGTTTCGAGATGACCACCTTAATGAAGAGAGGGCAGTTGCCAATAGCTAGGGGTGATATCCCACTGGCTTAGTCAATCAGTTGGTGAGAGTTTATTCGTTTATTCTGTTGCTGCAATGCTGGTAACTCAATAATTTGCCTCCTAATTCATGGATGACCTTTCACCTAGACTTGGAGAGAGCTGAATTTGGCCTTGGTAACTTGCTTGTGCAGTTTCAGGGCTTAAGCACACCAGGAACTATTTTGTTATTTCTGTTTCACTTAGATCTTGGAAATGTGCATTCTCTTCACGGAGGCAATTTCTCCCTTGCAGGAAGGCCCCAAGAGTTAACTGCCAGATGTCCCAAATCATCAGTCTGGGATACATACAGACTTCTGATTTATATAGCTTATTGGAGACACATTTTTAGCATTTCATCTAAAATAATAAAATTCCTAAAGTGTAAAGTAGAAAACTAAAAATAATAATATGTAAAAATGTTATTTTTTTTTTCCTAGAAAAGTTATTTCACCAGCTTTTGCCAATGGTACCCTGGCCCCTGCTCAAGGGGAAACTTCCCTCTATGGCTGCTTACTCACAGCAGTCAGTTACTAAACTTGATCCCACTGTGACTGCTCCCGTTCGCACGGAATCGGTGGCTGCGAAGGGATGACTCAGAGGGCAAAACAGGATATAATGGGCCACACATGGCATTCCAGAAGAGTGTGTTCTCTCCAGTGCTAATTAATTTTCTGCTCTGCAAAATACTTAAGAATACAAAACACGGCTAATTTATTTTCTCTTTAAACATTTCCATCAGCCTCTTAAAGGTGTTTTTATGAACTCCATTCAGTCCTTTACCATGTTGATTGACGAGTCAGGCCTAATTACATGGATGGTTTATTATCATGACATGTTGTCCCTGAACAGCGTGCTGTTGCATACTTAATAAAACTGCGACAATACCCACCAACATCAGGAATTACGTACTGTCAAAGGGAAGGGAATTTGAAAGGAAAATTCTGTGAAGGCAGCGCTCAGATTCAAGGGGAGAAAAGGGAAGACAGTACCCAACTTTGAGGGTGATTTCAAATACCTTAAGAAGTATGAGGCATGATAAAAATATGGCCCCTGCAGAGGATTTCATCATGAGGGATAGGCTTCTCTACTCACAGGGTGAAAAAAATTACTTTCTAATAGCATCTGCCTATTTTACATATATAATGAGCCAAACTCTGTGTGGTCATGTTACTGCCTGGGAAGTATTTAGAGTGAGGGACAGTTGTGCTTCCAGTCATTTTCACCAGAAGACTTTCCCTTCTGAATTCATTCATATTTTATTTTTAGCTTTTAATGTAAACTTTAAATAATTAATATATGGTATCGTCAAGGTCTCATATCTCATATTTCACAGTTCTTGAAACAAATAATACCTGAGACACATCCAGGAAATATCTGTCTGCAGATAAAAGAACTGAATCAAAGGAAGATAAAGTAACTTGCCCAAGATCCTGAAACAAGTTTGCAGCAATGCCAGATACAGGACTTTGCTTTCCTTTCTTCAGAATCACTAGGTCATCACTCCTACCTAATTAATGCGGGGCAGAGGCTGAAAAGTGCCCATCTGGGCTTAACATTTAGCACAGAACCAGTGCTGCACCCTCCTGCACCCTGACAGATCCCACCCCACCAGCTTGCTCGGTTGTGTGGCGTGGCCAAAGCCCTCCTGAGCTCCCTAGCTAATGTTTAATCCTTGGGGGGAGGCTGGAGGAGAGCACAAATTAGCTGAGAGAGGTGTTCATTTGGAGGTCACACTCACCTCCCTTCTCCCCTCAAGACATGGTGATAGGTAGAGGAGGGAAGAAACTAGTACTGCATTTGTAAAGAAGCTTATAATAAGTGGGCTATCCTGCCCTAGATTTGTACGCAAGAGTGATTTGATTATAAAGAACTGTGGATCTTGACAAGCTGTGGATGCAGGGGGCTGACTCGGCCAGAGTTCCCCAGACATAAGAGAGTGAAAGGCAGCACTCTGCACAGGAGAGTTTTATGCAAAATGAAATGTTTTTTGCATTGGATAATTAATTTTTCCATTTGTCCACTTCCTAAAAAGCCCTTACACATACCCAAGTGCCAGTGACAAACCCTTCTCAGAAAAAAGCCTGTTTTGAAGCAAGTGAGGGTCACAAAGGTGTGAAATGCTGCTATCAGAAATGCTTATTTTGGATCAGCAGAGACTAAATGTTTCAGTGATGAGGATGGTTCATGAGGAGAAAATACAGGGCTGTTGGGAGATGGTTCTCACCCTCTTCTTTGAATGCAGATGAGGATGAAGCCAGCTTGTGCTTTTGCATGGCAGCACAGCATACCCATATTTTCTCAGGCAGAAACACATGCTGGAAAGGTAACTTTTCTTTGAGGAAGAAAACCAACCTCGTAATTTCTGGCCTTTATAGTAACCAAGATAACCCTCAGAGTGGGAGCAGTGTGCGAAAAACACAACAATGTCTGCCTCAGACTGCAGAAACCAAGAAGTAATAGACCCGAGAGGTCCATATTGTCTCTTCATTATAGGAATCTGTTGATCAGAAGATTAGGAAGGTACTGACTTGAGAGCACAGGTATGACCTTGATTAGCAGTTTCATAGTCTTGTAAAAAGCATCTCATTTTCTCTCCCAAGTAGGTGGAGCTTTGTTGGCAGGTGGCGCCTAGGAAAGAGTTACCACTATTTTTTTTTCCACATCTGATGCTACCTTGGATGCTAAATTGGAGTTATTGCAGAGGAGAGGGTGCTACGGGGGGCTGCAGGCTGCATCCTCCAGCCCTACTCCATGGGCTCCCTCACAGACAGTCGCTGCGGGAAGGGGGTACCCGACGGCATTAGGAGGGGTTTGGGCCTGAGCCGGGCGCTGCTGCAGCGTGCTGCTCTGCTCCTGCCTGGCTGGGCTGGGTCAGGCACCCACAGAGTGCACGGCTGCCCCCCGCCCCCCCTGCTCTGGGAGTTACATGTGTTACAGCAGGATTTTGCCTCCTTTTTAAAAAAAAAGAGAGAAACATTTTAGTTTTACCTATCATAGTAAACTGGCTCTAATGCCAGTAAAGCATGCCTAATTGGCAGTATTTAGAGACTGATCATTTCAATTTATGCCCAGAACAGGTAGGGCAGCAATGAAAGCCTCTCCCACCCAACCCCACCCCTTCTCACCAATGTGCCTCAACCCTGCCCTGAAGGGACCACCTGGAGGGCTGAGCAGGGAGTTCCCTCCCTCTGCGCAATAAAAAGGCACAGTCCTACAGTAAATACCAGGTTAAGCTTATAGCTGTTTAATAGTTAGTGTACCTCTGGTAATAAAGCTCTTGCAGGGCTCGTGCAGAAGAGCACCTGCTAGTGAGTTAATGCAAAAGCAGGAGCCATTTGCTGAGGTTTTGCCTTTAAGGACTTGGCAGAAAACACTAGAGTGGAATTTTCACTTCATGTTACCATGGGGTCAGTGGGAAAATAGTTCATTGCCCCTAGCCTATCTGTTGGAAACGGTTCCCATCACTGCCACAGCTTGCAATAGCCTTCCCAGAACCATGTACTGTTTGGTATCACTTCCTTCTTTTCATGCCTCTTCACCACATGGAGACCTGCCTTCTTGTCCTTTTTGCCAAACCCTTTCCCATCTGCCAGCCTCACTCGTGAACTGTATCCCCTACAACCAGGCACAGCACTGTATTACAAGAGGTTTGAGTGCATCATTCCTACCTATTTTAAGTGTCCCATCCTTCACAAGCCAAATCCACTGGAGCTAATTCTGGAGAAAGCACAGTCAACACATATTTGTTATTGACAGAGAAAGAACTACCAAGGAGTAGTGGTTTTCCCCTGTAAAGTGGGAGCATCTGTTCATCTAAATAAAATGCTTTGCAAAAACAAAACAAAAAAAAAGAGCAAGCCCTGTACAAATACCATGTCACTGGGAGCCTTTAGCGACTCAGGCTTATGCAACTGCAGCTCTAAAATAAAAATAACATTTTCCAGTAGCCATTAGTAGCACCCAGATTGCCCAATGCAGTCATCATTGCTTTTCTCAGCATCTGCTTTATCAGTTGTCTTCCAGCCCATAGAAGTCCATGGGTCTTGGCAGCAGCTCTTGCTGATGTGTAGTGGGTTATTGCTTAAGAATCCTTTGATCTGCCGCCAGGTACTAACACCATGCTCTGCAACAGCGGCTTGCCAGACCTGGCCGGCATACAAACTGGATGGGCT